CAATTATCAAAGGAGAGCTAGGGCGAAAGCTCTTTTGGCCCTACTTCTATGGATCACAGGAGTGCTGACAGCGGGCTAAAGATAGGTATGGATGTTTATTTTTTTTTGTAATCCCAAACTTCTCTTTTAAGGAAAATGAGTGCAACTGCACTTGCAAATTGCACAATCTATTTGCCTTTGGTAAATCAACCCCTCTGTGTCTCCTAAAGTAAAAAGCAACCTCTTCATTTTTTCTCTGAAAACTCTTGATTTGTAGATGGCCCAAATACATTTTTTATGTGAGAATAAGATATCAAGTTACCTCCAACTGTGTATTTTTTGTTTTAATGTTCAAGGTTGATGATAAAATGAGTCAAACCTGTATAGGCTTTTAATTTTTTACAGCAGCTTTACTAATACTATGAATATCAAAAATGTTTTACATATCTAACCATATATTAAACATAACCAACAAGAGTTTTCAAAGTAAAGTTATGACAGGTTTTACATTTATATTATATTGTATACAAGGCACTATGTTAACCCCCCTGGCGGGATTCCCGAGTGTAGCTCGGGGTTAACTTTCAGTACCAAAAGCGGTAACCCCCGAGCTACACTCAGGATTGCCCTGCAGCATTGCTCAGGGATTCCCTCAAGCACTTACCTTGTCCTTCGCTCCTGTGATGTCCCCCTGCAGTGTCCCCGACCACCTCCTCCGGCCGATGCCGGCATTCGTCTTCCGGGTTCCATTCCCTGCGAGCGTCGGGACGTACGGAACGTACGGGACACAGAACTAGCGGGAAATTCAAAAAATGTAAAAGTCAATACCAGGGCGGACTGACAACTCATGGGGCCCCCGGGCAATAGGGGATCATGGGGCCCCTGTGTCCTTGCCCAAACTCAAGAAAGCCTATGAAAAAGGTACCAGGGGCATCTCATGGGGCCCCCTACTGACCCTGGGCCCTCGGGCAGTGCCCGAGTTTCCAAATGGTCAGTCCGCCCCTGCTCAATACACTAAAATCTCATAGTATAACATTACTGTATCAAACCATTTCATATACATTTTGTCCCGAGTGCTTTGTCCTGCGCCCTGCCTGCATTTTTACTATTCTTTCTGCCTGGAAACTGAGAAAAGTCCATAGCGTCTAAAAAAGTGTCCCTTTAGGTCAAAGCAGTTTTAGACCAGCTAGAGAACAGCGATAGTAAATTAGAACCACTTACAGAATTGAGTGATAATGATTTGTGGGGAAATTTGTCATCAGACACCGAAAACGATTTTGCAACTAAGATCAGTGATGTGCGAACTTGGCGCTCTATTTCAAATTTCAGTGTTTTTGGTTTGATTACATTATTGAATTAAATGTATTAATATTATATTATTATTTTTATGATTATTTATTGTATTATAATTTATGATTTCATGTTTCAAATTTTATCATACCTGAGATGTTTACTAGACTCTTGTTCGGATGGATTTCAGTGAGTTATTCCTAAGAATTACAGGCCTACAATAAAAAAATAACATATTTCCATGCAAAAAAAGTACCGCTTTGAGCACAGAAATACTGACATAATCAGACCACTAGGGAGGTTAAATGAATGCAGTCTCATAGTCATCACAAATAATTAAATGCATTGTTAAATGCAATTGATGTAAGTACCTGAATTTGAATTGGTATCAGCCTTCAATAATCCTCTGTACAGCAGAACTCTGTGAGAGGGAACGCACATAGTGACCAGAGATGTGCCAAGAAGCCGAGTGAGCCATCTGCTATGCTCATCAGTAAACTTTTACTCTTCTACTGTTCAGAAACAGGCGGGGAGGTGACCAAGCTGTATTACCTAACTGCAGTTGAGAAAAGCCAGGTCAACAGCCTGACTATGCTATTGGGCTGAATATGTCAATCTCAGGTCTGCATAGACAGAAATACAAGTTATTTGATAGGTGAAACTGTGCTGTGGTAAAATACAAGAGAGAAAATAACTGGTTGTTTTTTTTTTGTATTAGACCTTTTATACTGAATGCTCTTTTATGTTGCAGGGTTTTGGATAGACTTCACTCTGAACGGCCATGTTGGGCAAGGACGGATAAAGACATTCAGTACTGGCGAAGGAGAGGCCAAGATTTCAGTGTTTTATTCAGACATGGAGAAAACGGAGCAGCAGACAAGCCAGCCTTGCCAATAAATGTTGATGGAAAGAAAAGATGTAACATAGTAGATAAAAATGCCAAGGAATGTCACAACACTGTCATAGAAAATGTGCATAAAACAAGAAAGAAAGTAACAGTAGTTGTAAAAACAGTGGAACAGCAGACATCAGATGGCAGTTGTGAGAAAATAGAGGATTTATTCTCATCAAATCCAGAATGTGGTCCATTTGTGTGTCCCAGTAAGCAGAAAATACAGTTTATATCAAAGGGTAGTTCTCCTGAAGGTCCATGCCACATGGCTATAACTTCAAGTTCAGGTGACAACTCTTGCATTAAGGAAAATAAAAAGCAAGATAAGGATAATTATATTGTAAATCAGGACTGCAGCAAGAGTTCTTTCGCAAAACCGAAATATAGTCGACCCTCAAAGCCACCATCATATGAAGTTCACCAGCAAACGTGGGGAGCTGTAGATGTTGGTGAAAACAAAGATAATCAACAAAAAGATGAACATCACTCATCTCCCAAAGTTCTAGATCCCACCCAGGACTCTTGTGCTCATGACTCAGGCATGGAACCCCCTAATTACATACCTCCTCCATCATACAAGTCCCCACCTCTCCTGCATCCAGTCAATAAAACTTATAAAAAAGTGCCTAGACCAAGTGACTGCATACGGCAAAATATTTCAGCTGAGAAAACCAGCACAAGTGACAAAAAAAACATCTGTTTTCTCGGAAACAATGGTCCTTTCACTAAACCAGCCAGCCACAGGCACTCAGAAAATTGTAAACACTCCATACAATATATCCCTTTTGATGACCCCCGAATCAAACATATAGCCAAGGAGGCTGAGAAACACAACCACAGTAAAAAACACTCTTCCACAAATGATCCTTGTAGGGTTGAAAATGTGAGTCAGGACAGTAACCTTCACAAACGAGAACAAGATAGTGCCTTTATCAACCCCAAAAATATGGGACATCATCATGTAAAAAGAGAAGGTATTAAACATAAGCAGTGGCTGCACATCTCCATCCCAGATCAAATGTGTTGTCCACTACCTGAAAATAGAGATGGCGCTACAGCATGCAGCCTGCCAGAGGACAGTGAGCCCACTCACAAACTGTCTTTGAAAAAGACCCATTCTGACAGTGTTTGTGAAACTGTGACAAAAGTCAAAAAGTTTGAACCTGAGTCCTTTGTTTTTAGTAAAAAAAGTTCCAAGAGGAAACTTAATGAAACAATATTTTGCTTGGTTTCAATTCCAGTAAAATGTGATTCCAGCCCATCTGATATATGCAAGAACAACAAACGTTTAATGGACAATACAGACAGGATGAACATGCTAAAACACAGCAATGCGGGTCTCCCTGAGCAAAGGCTTTTAAGTGCATCTTCCAGTGACTTAGAGCTACAAACACTTACAGGAAACCTGAACAATAATACAGAGCTACTAAAACAAGCCCAGTTCAAAACAGAGGAAAACAAACAAGCAAATGACCTCAGATCTGGCGAGCTGCAACACAGGGAACTGACATATTCTGGCTCATGGCCAGGTGATCAGTACAAAGATCAGCAAACTCAAACATTGTTAACAGACATAGACATTTATAATGGGAAAAAAGGGAGTACACAATCTCAGATTGTTCCCCCAACTGGACTAATAGATGGGAGGCCATCTTCAGAAAATATGAGATCAAATGTATTTGGTATTAAAGGTCAGATAGGATTTGCACCTTCCAGCAACAGTGCATTTTCAAGGACATCCTTATTAGTGACACAGATCCCTAAAACAGAGCAACCCCGTGAATTTCCTAGCGTAAATGTTGATGGCAAGGGAAAAATAGTAAAGTGTGATAAGAGTGAGGTTGAAGAAGACCACCCATGCAATAAGAAAGAAGTTTTTGGTCAGTTTCTTTTAAAACCTGTCAACCGACGCCCTTGGGATGCTATAAGGGAACTGGAAAGTTTAAATAAAGAATTTCAGGAACCAGAAAGTTGTGCTAGCGATGGTAAAAAGAATGTAGTTAGAGAGCAAAGTAAAGTGATTCCAATGGACACGTCTTCCACAAGAACGGCATTGAGGAGAGAAATGTTAAACAACAGTCGTCACATTATAGAGGTTGAAGAAGTGCCATTGTTTGAGGTCCTCCAAAGTAAGTCAGAAAATTGGTGTACGGAAAAGGTAACATTTGATATTTGTGAGAAGACTGCTGAAATATGCAAATCATCCCAAGTGAAAGATGCTAACAATCAACCATCAAAGCTGTCTGATGGATACACACCAGAACAAAAACAAGTTCAAATTAAAAGGTCTGAAGATGCAGTTTCTACAAATGCACCTCCAAATACAAAAACAGAACAAGAACCTTCACAGCAAAGTCACACAAATGAAATTCCTCCCTCCAAAAACCAGCATGTTCCAGATGCTTTAGTCCACCATTTCAAAGAAGACAAAACCTGTTTTGACCATACATTTTTTGATGTAGTTAAAGTTAGCTCAGCAAAATTTGGCCAAATTGGTGATAATATGTTAAGGAAGTTGTCACTATCTGACAGAAGTCATGGACGGTCTGTTCCTGACCTGAGTAAACATTTTACTGGCACAAGCCAGAATGGAGACTTTTTCGAGGAGCACAACTTTTTGGACATTCCAGGGAATGAATCCCTTCATGAAAGAGCTGCTAGGATTCTTGGAATCGAAGTGACAGAGGATTCTCTAGTGTCAAATGGAAGCTCTGAAGCGCAGAGCCCAGAAAATTTTATGTTTGGTAGTGGAGCACAGCCAGAGAAGAATGAAAGTCATAAAGTGAGTGACATTTCATTTTCAACAAATGAGGCAGCAAGGGTTTTCAAGAGTGTCCTTCATTTGCCAGTAGACAATGAGAAAGCTGTTGAAAAATTAAAGAACATCCATCAAGATCAGGAATTATCTTTGGCATGTCCATCAGTTTCAGAGCAGAATGAGACAAATATTATGCGTAGTGCTGAGAAAAGGCTAAGGAGTACATCCAAAATGATAGAAACATTACAGGGGAAACTTGCATCTACACCAGTTCGCACTGCTATAGACCGCCTTGCCCGCATGAAAGAAGTTGATTCTGTCTCTAGAATGAGGCGGCTAAGCATTAAAAGCACAGATTCTGGTGATGAATTAGATGAGGAAAAACAGTTCCATGGAACACAAGATGGAAGAACCAGAAAATTCTCTATGGGTTCCATTTATAAACGAGTGATCTCCCTAGATGAAAACCTTCTAATAACACCAAAAGGCAAAGATAAGTTGGATTTATCTTGTGCAGGTAAGAAAACTGTTGAAATCCTTTTAATTGACTTTTTTAACTAATTAACTAATGCATATTCAGAAGAATGTGTTCAAATCAGTTAGTGGTCTGCTCTTCATTTTTGCAGAAAATGTTTAGGCAGCTTGACACCTAAGGAAGAAATGAGGAATGGGAAGGCATAGTTGTTGGAGCACCATTATGTGCAAGTATGCACACTACAGTATACTTGCACATTATTGCAAACTTACTCATAGTTTGCAATGCTCCAGCAATGATAGCCAAGCCTTCTCCATTGCCAACACTGCCTTTTTCTGAGATTCTGCTTTGCTACTGGATCTTCTTCATATGGTCATTGGGTGCCCAATAATGATGCTATTCCCATTCATGTACAAGAAGGTTTTATTATCGCAGCATTAACCTTTTTTAGAATTCATTTTTTTGTGGTCTTGAAAACACTGAAAGACGTCAATGAAGTTCTACTAGTAACTTTACAGAATAGTCAGATTTATGAATATTTTAATTAGCGGTGATATGTGATATATTGGCTAGCCATAAAGTCCAGAGAGGTCACACAGCATTTTTTTCTGTGTATCTGATAACCTCTTCATTTTTCTGGGTATCAGATAACCCCATCTAAATTTAGTATATTTCACCTTATGGTAGCCTGTACACAACTAAACCTCAGCAAACATTTCTTAGTTTTGGACAGAGTGGAGAAGAGTTAGAACCTTGTCAGCATTCACTGCTGGCTGTGTCCCTTTGGGGGGAGATTTCCTCTTTCTGCCTGCTCAAGTAACAATCTCTCACCTTTACAAGAAGTAAGAAGAAGAACTCTTCCAACAAATGGGCAGCATTAAAACCTGACACATGATCTAACCCTTCCCCATAATCTTAAATAAAATGTTGTAATATAAACTGTGTCCCTGTGGGATAGATCTTCCCTTACTTCCTGGCATGGAGACTACCTTTCAGCAGGACAGAAAAAGGAAAGAAAACAGAAACCAATTTAAACAAAGAAATTCTTTATCTACCCAAAGCAAACAAAACATTTTGTCTGGATTTCTATTTTAAAGTTTTATTTTAAATTAGTTGATTTCTATCTGTACCTAGAGAAAATCCCAGTGGGGCGTGTCAAGGTGCTTTCGGGTATATTGTAACTAGTCTTTTTTGCAGCATTGGCACAGTAAATTCTTCTTTCTAGCAACTCGACCATGCAGCAAATTTTTGTTCACATATTGTCATATTGTGCTCCTTGAAACAACCACACCGTCTTTTTCCAGAGCAGCCTGTATTTCTCCTGAAGTTACCTATGGGTTTTTCTTTGTATCTGAACAATTCTTATGGCTGCAGTCTTTCTTGGTCTGCCTGACATTGGCTTGGTGTCAAGAGATCCCCAAATTTTCCACTTCTTAATAAGTGATTGAACAGTACTGACCAGCATATTCAAGGCTTTGGATATCTTTTATATCCTTTTCCTTCTTTATAAAGTTCCATGACCTTGTTACGCAGCTCTTTTAACAGTTCTTTTCTGCTCCCCATGGCTCAGTATCTAGTTTGTTCAGTACATCCACATGAAAGCTAACAAACTCATTGACTATTTATACACAGGCACTAATTGCAATTTAAAAAGTCACAGATGTGGGAAATTAACCTTTAATTGCCATTTAACCTGTGGCTTCATATAATCACTATTCTTAAATAGAAGACCATTTTTTGGCATGAGCCGTCATATTTTCAATATCAATGCAAAATGCCACAATTTCTTCCAGTGTATGCAAAATTTTAAGCACAACTGTATATGTAATAGATTGTACAATAAGTTTGCAATATGTTAGACCACTTTTAACTATGGTCACAGCAATAAGAAATTTTAGCAAAGAAAATTCCCAGGACTTCTAGGATGAAGTAGCATTTGACACGATACTATCTTTGACAGTGATGGTGTTTAGTAATTTGTCCATTGTTATCAAATATGAGAGAGAAGACTCCTCAGTCATGTGTAAGCTGACCCAAGGATAGGCTTGTTCCTTCTGTCTCCTACATTCTTCAGCTCATGCATTCCCTCCCACTACGATGGTCATATGCTCTAGCCTTTCAGCCCAGGGGTACTTTTTAGAAAACAACAAACATCTAAGTATTGAAGTTGATTTTAGATTTGTGAAAGAATTATTAGAACACGTATTTATTTTTACTATTATCTTGGGCTCTATTTTACTGAAAAATATATAATAGTCTGTATTGCTGTTGGAGATTTTCTGTCACTTCTAGAGCAGGACAGGACATGAGGATACATCTCTAGCTGATCCCTGCAAAGCAGTAAAATCAAGCAAGAGTTCTAATCCTTCCTCACTTTATCCAAAATAGTATGGACTTACACTTTAAGGCATTGTCAGTGATAGCATTGTTCCATTTAAGATGCATTTAAGATTATTTTTTTGCTTTTCTGTTGTTTATATTCCACAGATGTATATGACCCAGCCAGAGTCGAGAGAGTGTAACTCTTGTCTTGGTAAAGGATTGTGTGTTACCGTGAGCATTGTGGGTCAAGGCAACAGAAGGTCTGACGTTCTCTGCTTTCTTATCGAAAGTTGTTAAAGCTATCTACGCCATTTCCACATTGCCATTACTACTGCCAAAACCAAGTCATCTGTCTTCTGCACTGTTACCACTAAATATCTGCAATGCAAAGGAAGGAGTGAAATTCACTAGTGAAAGTCCTTTCCTGAGAAGCACATGAAGGAAAATTCCAGGAGCCCTTGACCAACAATGTTCATAAACATGTAATTGTTCTCCAGTTTGCACACTTCGTGCCACAGTCCTGATGAATGTAATGTTGAACTCTGCACAAGTATGAGCGCAGGAGGCTAGTAACACAACCTGAATGTATCCACACCAACGTATCTTATACTTGGAGAGACTATCGTTGCTTTCTTTTACCTGTTTTATTACTGTTTTATTATATGGATGCTTGTTCGTTACCGCGTTTTTGGACGGATGGGTGAACATGAAATGAATCAAATTCATCCCACATCATTAAACCTCCTCGTTGATGACAGTTCTGCAATGAAAAATAAGACTTGTGTTGAAGAATTGATGTGTGTTCTATGAATGCAGAAACACTTCTAAACATGAGCTTGGAAACAGAGCAAACACATCTAATTGGCTGTGTATCTTTTCTGTTGGAGATGCGCAAAACATTTTGACTGTGGGGGAGGATTTAAAGACATGTATGAAAAGGAACTGGCTGCAATATAGCGTGTGGGCTTTCTTCATTGTAGAGGAACCAGTAAACATCTTTTTGACAGCTGATTTTTACAAGCAAAGCAAGCATTGTTGCTTATCATTAACGGTTGAGAAAAATTGCAATTTGGAACTGATTTCTAAAATCCTTTAGGGCTTGTACACATATATGGCTTTCAGTGAAAATGACAAAGGAAGTTTTAAAAAAATTGGGCATGCCTATTGCTGAGTACATCCAAAAACCAATCAGATTTTGTCTTATTAGAATATGGAAAAATTCTTCCATTTTTTAGGGTAGTCTTGCTCCTTCCATCCGCTACATCCCTCAGATCATACATCTCCTCCCACTATGATGGCTGTATGCCATTGCCTTACACAGGGTGGACAAATCACTGTTTAATTCGGAAGGCTCTTGGCTCAGTCCAGGAACCAAATAACACTTTTTTAGAAGCTTGCAAACATCGTCTTTTATTGACATTAGGAGACTCAAAATAATCTAACAGCGTTAGACCCAACTCGTGATGAATAAGGGGCATTATTACCTGACTTTTGGGATTTATTCAGACCTGGACATGCTTGGTGGTGGCAGAAACATTGCCTTTTACTATTTTGTTTTTTACTTACCACCACACCTTAACAGACCTGCAAACCAATGGATGGCCTATAGACAAATTGGGACCTGCCCATTGCTGGTGCTTGATGCCATCTATGTGTACAATCCTTAACTCTCACTTTGTCCTCATAAATGAATCTTTAATAGCACTTAAACTACTTTATATATTAGTGTATGTAAAGGTAAAACTTTTACTTTTGGATAGATTTAGAAAGGGTTAGATCCTCTATCAAGTTTTATTGCTGTCAGTATCCCTATCGGAAAGATCCCAGTATTCCATTGGAAAATTGTCATAACAGCAAGGGGTGAGGGTAAATCATCCAATGGAGACAATAATTAAAAGGATTACAACTGTCTAAGCTGGAAATTTGCTTCACTTTGGGAAGATTTTCTCTAATTTCCTGTTGCTTCTCCAGAACAGGACATGCAGGAACAACTTCCCAATGGAACACAGACAGGCAAAACAACCCTGGTGGAGTATTTAACCCTTCCCTACTCTATCCAAAAGTTTAAAAAAGTTTTCCTTTACATACACTTTAACTTAAAAAAAAATAACATTTCTATACAGAAGACAGACTTCTCTTGCCCAGTTCTGCAAATAGAATACTTTTATTCTCAAGTATACAGCAACAGACACATAATTCAACTTAGCAGCGTCCACCCAGCTCTGATATATCAGTGTTGCTTTGACTGACCCTTTTTAAAACTAATTCCTACAGTAAAAACTTCAATTTTAGTAACTTAGGCCAGGCAGCCTGTTCAAGGATGCGTTCAGTGTGGCTCATTTTACTGTCGGTAAATACATTTTATTCTTTTTGACATGTTTTTATGAACTTCTGTAGGACAGAGGTGAGCACTGTTGGGTCTTATGCCTAAAATTGTGGTTCAGTCCTCCAACATGTAAATACTGATCAGTCGTTTGTCATTTAAAGGAGATTTCCTTTGTAAGCAATACTGTCACACAGGACAAAGAAGCGCTTTTGTTTACATTCATCAATGCTGTTGCTGTAATGTGTGAGGAACACACTGGTCAGTGAATGTGTGTGACCACCATCTGCTTTTTCAGTTCCTGTCTCCCTCTCTCTTCCCTGGTCTTCTACCTTACTATACCTCTCAAGGGCTTGCTCTGTATTAATGACTGTGTTACATGTAGAATCCAATTGCCCCAGTCATTTCAAAACCAAACAGATCCGATTGTTATCTATGAACAGCACACACAGTACTTATTTCATACAAAGAGCAACACAGCCACTAGTCCCTTATGACTGAAGACAGCTGGGCAGCAGAGGTAATTATTGGCCCTGATGCTTTGATACATTTGGCCTTTAGATAGGCAGCACAGCAATGAGGTGCAGTAACCCATAACAGCCAATAAAAAATCTGCAATTACCAGTCTGATGGCTGAACTGCTATAATCTGATTTCTGATTGGTTGCTGTCTTTGTTAATTTTCTTTTGCATTGTAAATAGTCATTTCCTTCTGGGTTCCAAGTGTCACCTCCACACCATAACATGTTTTAGGGTGTCTCACTCCTCTTAATAGGCTTTTCAGTTAGATGAGTGTAGGACTATGAGTGAGGCCTTATGTATGCATATGGGGGAAATTGTTCTCCAGAACTCTCTGGGGGGGAGATCTCAGTGTTGTGGTCCTTGAGAGATATAGGAAGCTAATTTGGGAATTAGCTCACCAGTATTCACCCATTATTTAAATATCAGTTTGGAGTGGGTTTAACCATATATGTTGAAAACCCAACTATATGTTAAATACTATTTGGTCTGTAGTGTATATCAATCTCTGTTGCACCAGAACAGCCTATTGAAACCCACTGTTCATGAACTGCAGCCCACGTCCTTGTTTATTGAGTGTTCTTGTACAGCTAAAGGGCCATTGGCTGCAAACCTATAGAAATATGTATTATATGTAGTTTTATGACATTTAGACAATGCTATTAGCTTAAGTGCCTATGTTAGCTTACACCTGGTCACATATGCAAGAAACCAATAGACCCTACATCCAAAGACGCTTCCCCATCACCTAACATTTCATACTAATCTGCACTTTATATAACTTGTCATTTTTGGTGATTTAGTGGCCTATATCAAAATAAGACACATCAGCGCTCACCGTTCATGTTTTATGTGTGCAGCTCAAAAATATGAAGGTTATAACTGTGTTCCTATCCAGATATTGTTGGTTGAATGCCAAATGCTGGGGGAAAGCAGTAGGTAGCAGCTTCTCTGGAGCCCATAGTCTCCGGGGACCCCACTAGACTCTGGGAGGCTCAGTTGTTTTCCAACTTTCTGTAACCATGGAAATGGCCCTGTTGTCTGTTTATTAGTAACTAGAACCTTGAAACCGCTGTGTGAGAACTACAAACAAATATTTATACATTTAATATAGGCCAAGGAAGGGATTCTAAATGCCTTGGGCCCTGTACATGGGTCACAGATCCCTTGCAGTGCAACTGCTCAAATGTCCACTGCAACCTTGGTGGCCTCATCCAGGAAGTGTCAGATTGAAGAATCATGTTTATTTTTTACTTCTAGCAGCCAATCAGTGACTCATATATCAATCAGTGGCTTATATATTCTGCTGTAGTAACAGGTGAAAATTTGATTGGATGCATGGAGGGAAATGCAAATTGTTCTTCTGTCAAGCTTTTCATACATGAGGAGCTACGTGGTGGGCAGGTGTGCCTATCTGACATGCAGACAAACTCTGCGAACTTAGCAAAAGTGGCCAATATACATTTTCCAAATGACTAAGTAGGTACAATCTGGGGGTTTTAAGGTGCCAACATATATTGTGAGCACCACCTAATCCTTCTAAAAGAATTTGCCAATGATCATCTGGGAAACGCATTATGTACAGGGTTCAGTCTGCCACTTGATCTTTATCTTTATTAGGAACTCTAGAGGGAGAAGATCTTCTCTTCCCCATAGCTTAACATATGACATAATAAAGCTTTAATAGCATCTGCTTGTTTTTTCAGGTGATTCTCTAATGTTACCATATAAAGTGAGCTCATAGATTTTTTGTAAAGCCCACTAGTGGGCAAATTATACTTCTTTATTGTGTCCACACCCTTTATTGGATCTTCCACAGGAATTTGCAGGGTGCTTACTTCAGGCTATGGCCATAGTGCTTCAGCCAAAATGCTAAATTTAGCCCATCACAGCTATTTCAGGATTGGGCGAGATCTAATGGTGCGATCCAGGGAAGCTTGCTGTAGTGATCTGGCAAAGGAACAAACCTTTTTCGCATATCATCTAAAACACAACATTCTGGCTGGGTGTTGTCTATCATAGACCTTTAGGATTGCCATATTGTCATGTTATGATGAGTGTTTACAAGAATGCAGATTAGAATGCTTTCTGAATGTTTCAAAGTACAGAAAATTAGAACCCTCACCACCACCATCACCACCAGCAAGCCTGGGCCAGCCCACAGATCCGCATTTTGAAACCCCATCTTTCATTAAGACTCTAATAAATATAGTTTATTATCAAAACATCCATTAATAAAGAGGCTATTAAGGCCAACAACCTCCAAAACTCATACTCCTCCTTTGTATATTTGTTGGGAAGCTGAGTCTCAGTGTCTCCTGTAGTAAGATATCTTCTTGAAAATTCCTAGTTTCTATAC